CTACACACATACATCCCAAACTTACCACACTGACTTGTTATTTACATGGCTTGTTTCCAATGGCCATGCCAGATGTGGTGGTGCTGGCCTATAATCCCAGTGAATAGGGAATCTGAGGCAGGAAGATCGCAAGTTCAAGACTACCCTCAGTAACTGAATGTGACTTTTTCTCAAAATAAAAAAATAAATAAATAAATAAGTGATGGAAATGTAGCTCAATGGTTACGGGAATGGGAATATTTGCATAATTTTTACCAAATGAGCATGTTTAATTCAAAAATTTAAAACGTGAAATGTTCCAAAAGCCAAAACTTTATAAGCATCATGTCAGTGTTCAAAAAGTTTCAGACTTTGAAGCATGTTGAATATTGGATTAGGGATGTTTCACCTGTCTCATTCAAATCAGAGATAGAAAAGAAAGTTAGTTATGTGATAAGAAACTAATACTAAACTAAACTAGTAGCTTGTCTAAAAATGCCTGACACTGGCTGAGTCCATTTCACATATTCTGTCATTTAGTCTTCACCCTAGGAAGGACATACTTCAATTTGATAAGTCAGGAAATTAAGACTGAAGGAGTTCAAAATCACACAAAAGTTAGTGAAGACAGGATTCAATTTCTAGAACCTGTATTCTTTCTATCACATTGGTACAAATTCAGCTTCTCAGAGGTTGAGAGGTGGGAACAGCCACACCCAGAATGAAACAAGAGAGGTCACCAATGGATGAAACTTTGAAGTCTTGGTGGAGAAATGGGGTGCATTTTTAGATGAAGGAATACAGGTAGGAATGGGTTAAACTTCAAAACTTGTGAATAGAGCATAGAATGATCCTGGAATAAGTAGAGCATTTGCGAGGAAAATTCATTGTAAGAGAAAGTTGAGGCTATAGTAGGGGATGTGGGAACTCTATTTCCAGTAGGTACCACTATTAGAAAAATAACAAGAGCATATATCATACTAATGATTGGACCTAAGCTATCTTTATATCTGAAGAGTAGCAAATAAAAAAAAAACTGGTAATATAAGTATTTCAAAGCCTTTAGATTATTATGATTTTAATATAGACATGTACTTTTATCCAAGGAAGCAATACAACTACAGAAGTTGCAAGTGTCCTTCATGTCAAATTAACATCATAGAAGAAACAAGTAAATAGATACATTTCACAAATGTAAGGCATAAGTGATTGCATCCATTAATCTTTTAAATTATTTACATCATATTCTTCAGACATACTTTTGATTTTAATTAAGTACATGAATTGCCCACCTTGTTCATTTTGTGAAGTCTGATAATCAAAACACAAGATGGCCATACTTAAAAGCATTGTGGTTGTTTTATTCATGTGTGTTTGGTGATGGTTTTACTTATCAAGATTATGTTTCAAATGACTCTTATAACTAATTGTGTTCCAATGACTAAATTAAATTGAGACTGACTGATCATTTAGATGGTAACATCACAAATCTATCAGGAGTCTAAAATGAAGACAAGGCCTTACATAGATCATCTACAGATCAAAGAAGTCCTAAACATATTTTTAAGACCACTATTTTTAAGTCTTTTGGACATAGGTTTCCCTTAAAGCAATTCTATGAGCTTAAATTTTATGGCAAATACAACCTTAAAGCTGTATAAAAAAGAAAAAATTCCCTACATTGAAATTAGTGGGGATGTTGGTCTAATTAGTGAAAATTCTTTAATGGCATTTATCGCAAACTGAGCTTTTGGACTTCCACTTTTACATAATAAGTTAATATCCAATAATGTCAAACAGAGATACCTAGGGCCCCTGTTAAATGAATAAATATAAATTTATTTGACATACTATTATCAATTAATAATACAGAAACAGGTGCTATAAAATATAAGTATCTGGCTTTGAAAATTTTCCTACATTTTAAATTTAGAAAATTAATCATAGATAATATATTTACACATTTATCTAACCAATGTCAGAATTACCACAGAATGTAAATTAGCAGGATTCAACTCTTCACTATTCTATGGACCATTTCTTATTTTAGGACAAGAGGTTGATGGGCCAGACAGGAAGTAAGGCATGCTCTCTCTAATCCTCTAAACCTTTAAAAGAACCTCAAATACCATATTCTTCTTGAAGTCTCAAAGACATTCAAATATAGAGCAAAAAGTGATATTATAAATGACCTTTGTCTATTCTTCTTACTTAGAGATGAACAAACTGAGACCCAAGAGAGACAAAAATTGATGGTTTTGAATGCATATATGATAAATTAAGGGTCAAAAATCAATGATTCAGAAGGCATTCCCATCAAAAAGTTTAAAAAAGAACAATACACTGAGTCTGGAGAAAATAAAAGGGTATAATAAAGACAAAAGCAGGAATTATTGAAATGAAAAAGAAACATAAGAAAAGAAAGGGTTAACAATTCCAGAAGTTGGTTATTTGAATAATAATAATAACATCCTAGCAGAATTGATGGAGAACATAGATAATCAATGCCAGGTGTAAGAATGGAGATATTATTACCTTACATTCCTGGGATAAAATCTACTTGATTGACATATTATATTTCTATATTTCCTTGAATATGATTTGTTAATACTTGTTAAGAATTTTCACATCTATATTCTTAGCTTTTGTCTGAAAATGTCTTTTATTTTATATTTGAAGAGTATTTGTGCTGAATGTACTATCCTACTTTTTGCTTGTTGCTTTAAAAGTAACCATTTCGTTGAATTATGTTTTTTTATATTTATTCTCCATGAAAAGTCAGTAGTAATTTTTATCATTGTTATACTGTATGTATTATGGCTTTCATTCCCTCTGGTGGTTTTAAAGATACTTCTATTAGTTTTCAGCAATTTGACATGATGTGCCATGCTGTGGCTTCCTGTGTGTTCTGCTGACATTCATAGAACTTCTTAGACTGATGACTTTGTTCTTCATTAAATTTGAGAGTTTTCCCATTATATCTCTTATAATATATGCTCTGTCCCATTTTTCTCCTAAAATCTTTGAGATTCCAGTTGCTGATATGTGAAGCTGCATTTTTTAAAGTTGTCTTTTCTATACTGAGGATTTCTATTCCCTCATTATTCTCATTTCCCCTCTTGTAATGCTTAAAAATGTTTATGGCAACAGTTTTATAGTTCTTGCCTGATAATTCTACCATTTTTTAGCTTTTTTAGTCCATTTCTTTTGACCAATTTTCCTGTTTCTTTGTATATCTAGTAATTTTCTACTGAAGGCTTGACATCATTTAATGGCATGTTGTGAAGTGTTTAGATTTTTCAGTCTTTCTTAGTTGAGTGTTCAGTTTTGTTTCTATCTTTTCCTGTCTACTCAAAATCCATTCTTTTTATTTTTAAAGCCATTTTGTATGAGAAAGAACTTCTAAAACTGAAGCACCTTTGCTTTTTTTTGAGACTTATTGTTAAACTTTTTAAGGGTGAGTATATAGTAACTTTAATTAGAGATAGACTAATTCTACTTCTAAAGCATAAGCTTTATAAGATATTTTCTGGAAAACAGAGGGTTTAATGCAGGCTGCCAATCATGCAGGAGTTCTGACAGTTGTTCAGACTGCAGATCTCTGGTGGTTATTCTTTTCCAAGTGTTTATGAATTTTGTCCAGGTTTATAGTTGTTTATTGTGGTAGTGCTAATCTGGTACATTAGTCTGCCATAGCCAGAAGTATATATCCCATGAGGGAGTTTTTAGCCATATCTCAACTTTCATTTGATCCTTTTTTCTTTATCTTTTGACATAGTAATTGCCTTCTACTTTCCTATAATTCTCTAAGAACTCATAATTATTTAGCAAAAGACCCAAACCAGAAATTAATTCTCAAAATTCAATCCAATGGGCCTGGGCATGATGGCACAAGCCTGTAATTCCAGGATGAGACAGGAGAATTAGAAGTCTGAAGCCAGCTTTAGCAACTAACCTGAACCCTAAGCAACTTAGCAAAACCCTGTCTCAAAAAAAAAGGGGGGGGGGCTCAGTGGTTAAGTGCCCCTGGGTTTAATCTCTAGTACTATGAAAAAAAAAAATCAATCCAATGTTCTTGTCACTGTACAATGTCTTTTGTTTCCTGGAAGTACAATAACATTCTAAACTAGTTTTAAGTTGCTCAAAACTTGATATATTTCTCTCCTTCTCTCTCCCCCTTCCTCTTTCCCTCCCTACTATTCTGTTTCATTTTTCTGTTTTGAGTAGATCTTCTGGTTATATTTTTTAAAATATGGAACAGGTTCACTAATACAGCTAAAAAATGATCTATGCTGAGAAAATTTGCTTAAAAGCTATTACTGAATGAGTACTCTGACCACACAAAACTAAACAATCCAAAAAGTGTTTTAAGATAAAAAACACTACTAACATACTTCTTCCACATGTCTGTATTCTTCATTTCCTACCTGAGAGCCATATAGTTTGCTCTTCCTCCCTGTGAGCTATTTTAGCTTCTTGTTAGATGAATAGACTTAGGCTCCACTTACTTTTCTTCTAATTTAAGTGCCTCAATGTTGATGAGATCTGCTCCTAGAATGTAATGTTCATCACTCTCTGTCCACAAAAGATCTATTAATTCATATTTATAAAGTATTAGTCACTTTAAAAATAAATATAGTATGGTTTTATTACCTTTTAAGGAGAAGATAGATAAGAGCAGAGGAATAGGAATGAAACTAGTTTATAAAATGGGCCTTTAAGGAAGTATATTTAGGCCTGGTGTGGTGGTACATGCCTATAATCCCAGATACTTGGCAGGCTGAGGTGGGAGGATAGCAAGTTCAAAGACAGTCTGGACAAGTTAGCAAGGTTGCCTCAAAATAAAAAACTAAAAAGGGATGAAGATGTATCTCAGTGGTAGAGAGAATGCCTAGCATGGACAAGGCCCTGGGTTCACCAATATGGGGGATGGGATGGAAGGGAAGTATATTTAAATTGCACTAGGTAAAAGATGAATAATTTAATCAGATTTTAAGAAGTGGTGGGTCTAATACTCTTACCTGTGAAGTTGGATATATTCTCGTGGTCTGTTGAGCAGGTGAAGAAATCTGTCAACAATCTTGTTTTTTCCTACACCCTGTAATAATTACACAGATAGTATTATACAAAAAGGGACTTTTGTTTTGTTTGATTCTTCTGCCAAACCAGAAGAATCTTTTATAAAAACCTATTTTCTCAAAGTTGTACTGTTTTAGTTTATTATTAATGAAAACCAAACTAGCAAAAACATATAGCACAATTCTCATATGAAATAAGGTTTCTGTCAAAAATTTACTTCTAGATATATTAATTCTAAGCTCTTCTGTTTTAAAGGGAAATCCATAAGTTAGTCTCCTACATATTAATTATTTTGTTCTACAATTTTACAATGAAGTTCAGACATTACAGCAGAATATTTATTCCAGATTTGAAGAATGACATTAGACTTAAATCATTTATGTAGGAAAAAAATGGTTTTTCTAATCAGTTCTTTAGAAGTATGGTTCTCAGTTACAGGAAGACAACCAATACTATACATTTTCTGCTTTAATCAAACACTCACTTCTCCTTTTATCCCATTTTCTACTCCTTTAAAACCCTAGAAAACTAAAATTGTAGCCAAGATATATTAATAAAACTCAACTCTATTTGATCTCCTCTGAAATGCCCTCATTTCTTTGCCACTTACTCATCCCAGGAGTCGATGTCCTTTCTAGAAGACACACTACTAAAAATGGAATCTGCTCTGGTATAATTTCCCTATTTTAAAGTTTTCACTTAGAGGTGGAATACAAATGAATCTTTTAACAATTAGGTTGTATGTAAAAAGTAGAAGTCACTAAAATGTGCAGTTTTATATCATAGGTGACAGCAATAATGTATTAATTTCTTATACTGTGCTAGTATTTTTCACATTATTTCATTTAATCATTACACTGAGACAGTCCCGTGAAAGAAGATTATTCTTATTTCACAAATCAAGAAACTAATGCAACAGAGGAAAGATAGTAGAAGTGAGCTAGGCAGCAAGTCCCAATCACCTCACAACACAGAAAGGAGGCAGCAAAGGAAAAGCATGACTGAGAGGTGGGTGACAAAATAAATGCTTGATACTACATAGTCTGGGACCTGGAGAGACTGGATGATAGGTTACCAGAGAGGAAAATAAACTCAGAGTGCCCTAACTCTATCCCAAACCTGTGGATAAGGAAAAGGGGCAACAGAGAAAGAAGGGTTTGTGGGGGTAAGGGAGACATTCTCTTAAGTTCTACCATTTAAAAACTGTTGGAAAGAAGAAAAAAAAATACTTAAAGCACAACAGTAACAGAAAGGTCTCTAAAACAGCTCAAAGAGCTTAAAAGAAAACTGAGCCAAGGGTGGCAGCCATCTTGTGGAGCCCTCAGCCAACCAGTTAACCCCTTAAATCAGCAGGTTGTCTTCTCATACCCAGACAGCTGCAAATCACACCAGAAGGAAGTCCCCTGCAGTAGGACCTCTTAAAAATCCTATGAATCCAGCCAGAAAGAGCTTAAAAAGTACCACTACTGGCCAAAAACCTCTAAACCCCTCCCTCACCCTTGCTCCTCACCTCAAACAAGAGGACTGAACCAGCTGGAAGGGACCTGTATTGGGAAGTGTACCTAGTCCAGCTAAACTCTGCACAATGTCCAATTGCTTGCCTTGGACAGACAAGAATGAAGCAGCTTAGGCCCTAAACAAAGGAAAGTGGACTTACTAGGCCTTGATCACTGACACTGAGGGGAGGAACCCTGGGAAGCTTAGGGAAAGTCCCTAGGATCACAGGCCTTACCAGAGGGGAGCTGACTAAATATCCAGTGACATAAAAAGATCCAGCGGGAAATTACCAGTCTATGCAGCAGGAAGAGGCTGATACCAGCCTTAACAGGTAAGTCATGATCACAACTGGCAAGTGACAGGGCATTGTTTGTATACTTAGGAAAACTTGCATCAGACTTAGAAAGCACAGGGAATCAACGCCCACCATTCACAACCTGGAGCAACAAGAGTCCAGTTTAACCACGAGAGACAGGTTAACCACAAGAGACCCTTACCTACAATACATCAGAAAGCCACATCACCAGGGAGAATACTTGTTCACCACACTTCTGCACCACGGAAAACCCACAACCAGAGTTCTTGCACTCAAAGACATCCACCGAGATCTTTACTAGTGAAGAGGATCCAGTAGAGGGGAGCAGATACACAGTGGTACACAGCAACCAGGGGCACTTCAAAGCCTGCATCCTGAACTACTGCATACAATAGAAGCAGCCAAGCACAACAATGCACCCTCTAAGCAGTCAGCTGCTGGCCCCAGAACTGACAACCCAGAAACTTCTGGTAAGAGGAACATAGCAAATATGGAATTGGCTCCTGTGTCCCTGTAACTCAGGAAAGCCTCATATCCAAAGACTGATGGAAATCTGTTAAACGTCAAAATCCCAATGAAACCCAAATCAACATTCAACAAGAATTTTCTTCACCTTGACATATTATACTATAAACAACTCTAATTTCAACTTTTTTGCAGGGCAAAGAAAGACCAGGCATGTAACTCAGGCACACTTAACCTCTGAGCCACATCCTTAACCCTTTTTTATATTTTTATATAAAATACAATAGGCAGGATCTCACTAAGTTGCTTGAGGCCTCGCTAAATTGCTGCAGCTGACATTTAACAATCCTCTTGCCTCTCAGAGCCGCTGGGATTATAAGTATGTGCCATAGTTCCATGTATTTCAACTTTGATCATATAAATAACTCCTTAACTGAACAGAAATTGCTAACACAACAGGCAGCACTGTACCTTTAACTGATTTGAATGTTTTTCATCTAATGGTATAAAACATTAATTGGAATCAATTTTCCTATCTTTGTTTTCCTATATCTCTCTTGTTTATACCTTTTTATTTTGGCTTAAATGCTACTACCTCAAATTACACCCATTCATCTATTTCTATTTTCAACTTTGGTGTAAGTTATTCTTTCATAGTTTCTACCTCTCCTTCCTTCCTTCCTTCCTTTCTCCTCCTCCTCCTCCTCCTCCTCCTCCTTCTTCTTCTTCTTCTTCTTCTTCTTCTTCTTCTTCTTCTTCTTCTTCTTCTTCTTCTCTCTCTCTCTCTCTCTCTCTCTCTCTCTCTCTCTCTCTCTCTCTCTCTCTCCCCTTCTCCTATTTACCCAATCTTTCTTCTTTCTCCCTTTTAGCCCTCACTTAAGGTTATATTAAGTTCACCAAATTTACCAATTAATTTTTGACCTGTTCCACAACTTTACTATAGGTTTATATCTGAATTTAGGAAATGCAGAGAAAAACTGCAACAAGATTTTGGTTCTTAAAAGGCTGAACAGAAGGAAGATTGGCTCAGAAGTGACTAGAGTAAATACATGACATGTTTTTAAATGGTGCTGATATTTCTATCAGCAAAGGTCATACATTCACTTAAAACATAATTATTTGGATGTACACCCAACCCAGGGCTCTTATGAAAAAATACTCTCACAAAGTAGTTTGTTACTTGAAAGAAGTCAGAACTATACTGATAGATGGATAGACACAAAACAATATGAAAAAGCTTCAACAACAGACCTTCAAACACCCATAACGCTGGACACTTCGGTAGAATAACTGTCTGAGAAAGACATTAAAAAGTTTGTAGTTAAACTGTTCTATGAGCTAAAATAAGACTTAAGGTATAAAATTAGAGAGAAAATACAGGAAGTGAAAGATCACTTCAATGAAGAAAAAGAGATACTGAAAAAGAACCAGGTAAAAATCCTCAAATGAAGGAACCAATAAACAAAATTAAAAATTTAATGTAAAGCATCACCAATAGGTTAGACCACTTTGAAGACAGATTTTTTAGGCCTCAAAAACATACTATATAACCTTGAAAATAAAGTCAACTATAGAGAAAAGATGTGAAGAGACCATGAAAGACTATTTAGGAACTCTGAGACAACATTAAAAGGCCAATTTTAACATACATTGGGATAAATGAAAGCTCTGAAATATAAACTAAAGGAATGCACAATCTTTTCAATAAAACAATATTGAAAAATTTCCCAAAACTTAAGAATGAAATGGAAATTACAATACAGAAGGCATATAGGACTCCAAATATACAAAGTCATAATAAAGTCACTCCAAGAAACATTATTATGAAAATGCCTAACATACATAATGAGGATTTATTTTAAAAGCTACAAGAGACAAATAGTTAATAATGCTCACATTTAGAGGGAAACCAATACAGATCTTATGATTTCTCAACCTGGACTCTAAAAACTAGGAGGTCTTGAAATAATATATACCAACCTCCAAAAGAAAATGAATGCCAACCAAGTATATCAACCCAGCAAAATTAAGCTTCATATTTGAAGGTGAAATAAAAATCTCCCATGATAAACAAAAGTTAAAACAATTAACAACTAAAAAAACTGTACTGTAAAACATACTCAATAATATATTTATATGAAAAATACAAATTAAAACTAGCATAGGAAGGAAAAACACTAGAAAAATACTCAACTAAAGGAGAATTAAATCCAACTTAAACACCAAAAATAAACCAAATGATATGAAATAAAACTCATCTCTTTTGGGCTGGGGTTGTAGCTCAGTGGTAGAGCACTTGTCTACCATGTGTAAAGCACTGGATTCAATTCTCAGCACTGCATATAAAATAAGTTAAATAAAGACCCATCAACAACTAAAAACTATTTTTTAAAAAAACCTCATGTCTCAATAATAACACTGAATATGAATGATCTAAACTCTGCAATCAAAGACAAAAGTTGGCAGATTGGACTTAAAAACAAGACCCCAAATACACTGTCTGCAAGAGACTCACCTCACAGTCAAGGACATACAAAGACGGAAGGTGAAAAAAATGGGAAAAAAAACATACAACTCACGTGAATTTCATTAATAAGCATGGGTTACTAGTCTCATATCACATAAAGTGAACTGCAAGCCAAATTTAATCAGGAGAAACAAAGAAGGTCATTTCATACTGTTGAAAGGAATCATATATCAACAAGATATAACAATCATAACTTGTCCCAAACAATGGACCA